TTTTTTTTTTTTTTTTTTTGGTAGTGGGATTAAATTCAGGTCCTTGTGCTTGCAAGGCAAGCAGCAGAACCACTGAACCAAATCTCAAGCCCTTCCAAACTCTGAATATGCTCTTAATTAAACTCTAAGCTCCTGGAGGGTAAATACAACATTTGATTCAAATATGTATGATATCACATATGTATTATACATCTAAATATATTTACATACATACAGTACCTAGGATAGTGCTGAACACAATGCATCATTCAATAATTAATGACACCGAGCTCTGTCCTTAGCTCCCTCTGCAAGACTTTCCTGCAGGCAAGCCTGTCCTCATGTCTTTGGTCATTAACTGTACATATTTCCTGCACTGTGGAGCCAGTGGGCACTCACAGGAAAGATGAGCTAAAACTTAGTTTTTCTGATTCTTTGACTGACTTAGTAGAGTTCTAGTTTTAAATACATATCATAGTCATATATTTGTCACATTTTATAACTAAAGACAAATATAAATACTATAAATCGTTCTTCTACTATAAATGGCCACAGGGGACACAATATTAAAAAGAGAGAATGCACACTTTTGGTTTAAATTTCTAAGATATACTCAAACTATACTTTTAAAGGTAAAATACAAGTTGATCAGGACAGTTGAAAAGATTTTTACTGGGCCAGGGATTTAGCTCAGTGGTTCTGCCACCTGCCTTGCAAGCTCATGGTCCTGAGTTCAATCCCCAGTACAAAAAAAGAAAAACATAAAAGGCTTTACTTACTAAAAATTATAAAATATGTAGTTCTTTCACATTTTACTTAATACAAGGTGCTTTAGGCTTAGCATCTATACATTATTCTAAAACTTATCATTTAAAAATGTGTTCTAAGTCTTTAGAAGAGCATAAAAAAGTACCAAATATGTATGATTTTTTTTTACCCTGTAGAGGTATTTTCAAATACTTTCTTCTACCTGGTGCAAAACTGAACTCCAATTTACTTTATATTACATTGTCATCAAATTTTAAATGAGAGAAACAGGGAGTAATTTTTACTAACCATGCTCATTGCCAAAAACTTTCCTGGTATTTGAATGGCAGTAAAAGCTGAAAGCTACTAACCTGAGTCATCCTGTGATTCAGGAAAATCACTTCTTGCCTTTGTAAATCATGGCAGTTTCTGCCCTCTGATAGTGACAGTTGTTTCTGATGACTCTCTCACTGGATAATGTAACTGAAAAGTTGTAGGAGTGAAATCAAACAGTGCTGTTCTTCCCATGATGAACCACTTTTTATGAGTTTCTGAAGATAATACAGATCCTGCAACAAAAAACCCACTAAATGTCATTTTACACAATAAAATTACTGAACCAGCTGCAATTCAAGTTGACCTCCTGACTTATGAATAAATTTCCCCTAGAGAAAGGACTACAAAAAAGGTTAATATGTGAAACGTGCCAGAATTGCATAAGCAAATTATAAGCGAATTCTTAAGCTTCCTATAAAAACATATAGTACTTTCTCCCAAAAGAAATTAAATGACTTCAACTTGTTCCAGGAAATCTTATAAACATGGAGGGTCAACTGAATCCACTGGCTTAATTAAATGTATACCAACTAAGACAGTATTACTAAATTGTACTATATCATTCTGGTGCAACAGAACTAGTTAATATTTGTTCATATTGTCAGCTACTTCTATATCATTTTGAGGGGTACTCCTAGTTATTTTTCATTGTTCATGTTTAATCTTTTTATTTTTCTTAAATTGATCATGAAATTCATCAAAAGGCTCTTAGCTACTTAAAAATAATTGTACCTTCCATACCAAAAAGCACTCTGTACTACAGAGGTCTTGAGGGGCACAGAACGAGATTATAAGAGAAGCCTGGTGTGCCAGGAAAGGTCCATTCTAGAGTAAATGCCTTGAATCCTAATGGCTTGCCTGATAATGAGACAACTGGTCCCCGGTCCAGATCACAGCTCACAACCACTTTTCCTAATCTCCATGTCTTTTGGGTGTATCCTACACTGCCATAGACAGTACCTCTTGGCCTATATAGTGATTCTCAGGATGGCAGGTTGTGCTGCCTGTAGTTTCTCCCAACATCCCACTGACCCCAGTCTTGGTTCCTATGTAAGGATCACAAATCTAGGTGTGCTTCGGCAAGCTTTAGCTCTCTATGTCTTTCGAATTTGTGTATATATTTAAACCTCAGGTATTTCTGGAACGCATTTATATGATCTGTGCTATTGGGAGCCAATGAGGTTGACTTATTAGGTAGTATATTTAAGAAGGACATCAATGGAGCTAGTAGTCAAAGCATCTCATCGTTCCTCATATAGTCTTAGGGTAAAGGAGATGATGTTTGTTTCCTGATCCCCCAAAGCTAAAGGCTGTGCACCGAGATTAGGGATCCTGATTTGGGCATCCATTAACCTTCCCAGCTTACTCGGCCATCTAAGTGCCTTTCTCTCAGGTATTATTCCCAAAGAAATTAGCCCCATCTGCCTCCAAAGACAAAGCCTTGAACACTTTGGCTGGGAAGAGTATGGAAAGAATTTTAGAAGGTGTGGAAGGCCTTTGTGAGCTACTTGGGTGGGAACAGAGGCAGGAGGTTTATCTATGTGGCCCACTAGTACCCCCGAATACTTACATATATTGCTAACTTCCCTTAATTTCCCTAAATTATGATCCAAATATGCCCCTGTATAAAATGTATAAATAATATATTCTTCTCAAAGAAGTATTTGTGTAAAGACAAAACAAGATAATTTTTTTTTAAAAGTTGAACTCTGATATGTCCTTTTACTCTATCAGCCATGTGTCCCTGTATATTTAGTATTAAATGCATTTTCCCTCATTTCCTTGAATAAATGGGAAGCTATCTTCTAGGGCAAAGGTTCTAAATTGAACTTTCTGAAATTTGGGGCAATTCATTACGTGAGTTTTCTTAAGAAAAGGGTCAGCATTTTAAATCATAACTAAGGCCAAGGTTAAGGGGGAAAGGGATTTTCTGCACCAGAAAAAAAAATACACAATCACCTGATCGACAGATACTAATTGTATATTTCTAAGGCAAATATATTTTCTGACACATATAAGTCACTAAGGATAATGATAAAACAGGTCATCCTCACCCTCTACACTATTCAGGAGCCTAAGATTTAATATGTGAAACACAATGAAATAGAAAATTAAAATATACAGGACCTTTACTCTATAGTCTTCAAAGGAAACAGTCAAATGAACATGCAGTTCAGGTAATCAGATTGGATTAGAATCATGTAAAAGTCATTATTATCTTAGGACTTGGCAGTTATGGCCATGGGAGTGAATTAAATCAAATGAGGTTGTGCAGGGTAAGAAAAAAAATAAGGGTAGAATACCAGAGGTCACCAACATTTACCCCCCGGATAATGTTAGTAAGAGAGGAGCAGCAAGTCACCTGCTATCAGACCACTGCCATAATTCAATTTAAAAAATATTGATAACACCCAGTAGGCAACAGTTGCACTGGGACCTGCCAAAATAGCAAAGATCGCAGAGGTGGTGGGGTCCTCACTGTCTGGAACTTACAGGCTCACAGGAAATTAGCACAAAATAACAGCAGAAAATAGGGGAAAGCAAGCATGTGATAGATAGAAGAGTGCGGATAGCAAGCAGTATTCACTTCTGTCGTTTGGGTGACACTTTGACTCCATGACTCCTTCTAAATGATGAAGTCAGTGCAACAGCCTCATTAATATGCTCCACTGTACACAAAACTCTCTCATGGTCACCTAAAGGGGTCACAGTGAAAATGGCAGGGAAGGAAACAAATGGCATTTCTAACTGAAATCCTATGAGCAGAACAACCTTTGGGCTTCAAGACAACAGAATATGTGACAGTGGGAGAATGTGGCCCTCGGTAAAATCCCATCCAGGACAATCAAACTACTCTGGAGAAAATACTTACTGAGAGAAAGCAGGCAACAGGAAGGGATACCTTAAGGCAAGCAGAATAAATATTTCTCCAAGTTCTTTGTTTCTCTTGAAATTTTCCAAGGACTATGTCTAAATGGACTTCATGTAGGAGTAGGGTATTACCTCCAAAATCTAAATAAAGGAAATAAATGTGATAACATCTGGGTGAGGAATGTGTGCGTGCGTGTGTGTGTGTGTGTGTGTGTGGTTACTGGACAGTAATATAAAAAAGAATGATAAAAAGAGGATGATATTGGTTTTAGTTTTATACAAAATCAGAATTCACAGCACAATCTAGATCATGAGATCCACTATCAAACATCATTCCTCCACAGGCTATGAGTAGGCCAGACTCACTGTAACTGTAGCACAATGCATTTTGATTTTATAGATTAGAGAATTCCAGAAAAGAACAAGACAATCACATATGAGATGTAAGGAAAGTAGAAGCAGAGCATCCAGCTCCGATCAGGTATGCACTTCTCAGGTCAGTTTGACAAAAGCAGCTCTACATCTGCACGGAAGCTTCTTGGATCAGCAGCTTGCTAGAAGATTTTCTGATAATAAAGCAAGACAATATTAGAGAGAAGCAAAACATTCATTGCCATCCTCTCTCCTCACAGGAAGGGTGAAGAATCTCACAGCCATTTTACTGGTGAAGGATTGTTGAAAAATCTTTTCAATGAAGGTCACGTTATTTGTTATAAATCAGCATCAGCTAGGGTTTTTTTCTAGGGGTGGAACTGAAAGGGTAATGTGAGGATAAATTACATACAGGTGTCCCTTAAAACTATGCTTATAAGTGAGTCCAAAACAGGCACTCTCTGGTCACTACTCAAAACAGAAAATTAAAAAAATCTGATTATGTATTTGAGTTTCAGGAAGAGGACCCATATGCATACAAAGTATGGTAGCTTCTGCACCTATGAGAATCTCTTCCTGTGTGTTCTACCTCTGACCTACTCCTCTTAACTGTCTCCCCAGCCCTTTCCCATTTGATCAGCCTAAAGTTAAGTGACCACTTGGTCCAGAAGTTCACGTTCTTGTGGATTTCATAGTCCACAAAAAATCTCAAAGGGTCATTTGCAGGACCACAAAAAAGGGGTGATGTTTTTACATGGCACACAGACAAACAGGTGGATAGATAAAACTGACTTCCACAATTAAATCCTATATTTATTATTACCGTACCTGCAGAGATGAGGGGACACTCTTCTTAAAGCTGGGAGGACTTAATTTCAAACTAAAGGAGTCCTTCAAAATAGAATAAAACTTAGCTTCTGAAAAACTAATTGAATAATCTTTACTTTCCTCGATTCACAATAAATTGATGAAAACATTTTTGTAAAGCAACACTAGAATAGAGAACTGAGTTTTGCAAAACACATGAATACTATGGTCTCCAAAGCCCCATGACCCTGCCTTCCTAACTCTGTCCCCTGAAATTTGTCCTTGTTACGCTGGGGGATTCATTCTCACACTGCACTAAGGTCAAATATCTTGGCACGTCACAAAAGAGCCCTGCTGTGATTTGACAGCAGCCACCCACCCTCTTCTCCCGTCATGTCCCATTCCCAGCCACTGCCCTGTGCTCTGTTGATTCTCCCTGCAATCGGCCACCAGAAAACTCTATCTTCCAGCAAATAAGGACTTTATAAAGGAAATACCGTAAATCAGTACATTGCTCCTTTATGGAAAAACTCTTGCATTGACAAAGGAAAAAGGAATCAGCTCAGTGACTTATTTACAGCTCTCGATCTAGTATCATGGTCCCAACTTGTAATTCTCTGAATGCTTTGTACAACAGACTTCATTGTGCTTTCTGTTCATCGGTTCCCTCTGCCTGGAATTTCCTTCTTCCTCTAGACCACCTAACAGACATAACTGAGGCTTTTGGGTCCCATTCTCTACAAAGTCTTTCTGTCACCCAGACAGGACACATCACTGACGCTCCCTGCACTATCCAGATGCACCTCATTCCTAGCCCTGTGGTGGCCATTCTTTGGTATACATTGGCTGTTTAATATCCACCTGCATAGTGTGTGGTAGTGCTAAGATACAGGGCCCACCCATTCAGCAAAAATACTGAAGCAGGTGGTATGGTGCAGTTCCTATTACTTCTCCCCTAGAGGGATGATTCAAGGGATTGGTGGCCCCCCAAAAGATATGTCTATATCTTAATTGCTGAAACTTGTGACTCAAAAAAAGGGGTGCAGATGCAACTGGGGATCTCAAGATGAGATCATTCTGTGTTATCCATGTGGGTCCTGTTCAATAGCAAATATAACAGAGAGAAGAGAGAAGACAGACGAAGAGACAGAGGTGGGAGTGATGCATTCACAAGCCAAGGAGT